GGGAACCGAACTCACAACCTTGCGCTTGCCAGGCAGGCGCTTTTGCCGCTGAGCTAAATCCCCAGCCCCTGACTTGCCTTTTTTTGGAGGAAGGGTCTAGCTAAGTTGCCAAGGCTGGACTTAAACTTTTCGATCCTCCTGCCTCAGTCTCTCAGAGTGCTGTGGTAGACGCATGTGCCCCCATGCCTGGCTGTGTCTCCTACATTGTATTCTCTCCTGCTGTGCCTGGTGTCTGCTTTGCCTTGTCATCCTGTGATCCAAAGCTTTTGTGGCTTTAGGCCCTGTTAACCTTTCCTCTTCCCCAGCCAGTACGTCCACCATTTGCATTTTTAGAAATTGCTTTTTTTAAAAACTTACATCAAAGTGGGATAGGCTGGGTATGGGAAAGCAGGCCTGTCTTGAATGTACATCCCTCTCTTACATTCATCTTTTTGTATTTCAGGAAAGTAATACATGCTTACTCATTCACATATGAATATAAAAAAATGCTGATTACTGCCTGTGCTAGTCCAGTCCCAGCCTTATAGGTTGGTGTTATCCTGACACATTTCTGGATGGCTTACTGGTTATATTTTGCATATCTTCTTTGGAAGGAAAAATAAATCCTTTGCTCACTTTTACATATTTTTTGAGATGAGTTGTGATATGTTACCTGGGCTGGCCTTGAATCTCTTGGCTCAAGTACTTATTTTGTCCTAGCCTCTTGAGTAGGTGGGACTACAGGCATGTGCTACCGTGCCAGATGTCTTGCTAACTTCTAAATTTGGCTTTGTATATCTTTTACGGAGTTCTAGGAATTCCTCATATATGGGATATGAGTCCCTTATCATTATCAGATATTGTATATGATGCAGAACTGTTTTATCTCATCCTGTCAGTTGTTTTTTCATTTTCTCAGTGGTACTGTTTTTGGCTCAGAAGTTTTTTTTTGACACAGGCTCACTATGTAGTTCAGGCTGGCCTTGAACTCACTATGTAGCCCAGGCTGGCCTCAAACTTCTGGCTGCTTCCGCCTCCCAAGTGCTGGCATTATAGGCATGCACCACCACATCTGGTTGGCGCATATGTTTTTATTTTGTCACATTTACCTCTGTGGTCGTATCTAAGAAACCATTGCTTTCTTTATTTTTTTTTGTACTAGGAATTGAACTCAGGACCTTGTGCTTGCCAGGCAGGCACTTGTGCTGCTGAGCTATATCCCTGGCCCTATTCAGTGTTTTCTTTTTTTTTTTTTCTTTCTTTTTTTCTTTTTGAGACGGGGTCTTGCTATGCAGTTCAGGCTGGCCATGAGCTCATTTTGTAACCCAGGCTGGTCTCGAACTCACAAAGATTCTCCTGCTTCAGCCTCCCGAGTGCTGGGATTACAGGCGTGTGCCACCATGCCTGGCTCTTTCAGTGTTTTCTAAGAGTTTTAGTTTTAATTATTTTGGGGGGGTGTCTATGATCCATTTGAGTTAGTTTTTATGTATGGTAAGAGGTAGGGGTCAAACTTCATTCTTTTTATGTGAATAGCCAGTTGTCCAGCACCATTTGTTGGAAAAAACAAAAAGATTCTTCATTGGGTTGTCTTGTGATCCTTACCAAAAATCGGCTGACCATAACTGGAAGGGTTTCTGTCTGAACTCTTTTAATTCTTTTAATTCTGTTCCCTTGATCTGTATGTTTATCGTTATGCCAGTGCCACACACTGTTGATTACTGTAGCTTTGTGTAGGAAGTTTTACATTTTTTTGTTTTTGTTTTTGGCACTACTAGAAATTGAGCCCAGGTCCTTTGTACTGAGGTACCTCCCCCAGCCCTTTTTTTACTTTGAGAGAGTCTCCCTGAGTTGCCTAGGCTTTGCTCAGACTAGCAGTCCTCCTTCCTCAGCTTCCCAGAGTGCTGCAATTACAGGTGTGCTGCCCCACCCAGCCCTATTGGTAATTGTTACATGGAAACTGTTTTCTTGAATTTCAGAACTATCAGGATACTCTTTTTTAGCTTCATAGCTCTAGGGCTCCCCCTTCTGTGATTTTCATGAAATGTGTTAAAAATAGAATTTCATAATTTCTGAGATGTTGCGAATTCTTCTTGGCAATCATTTTTTTGTTTGTTTTTTACTTTTATTCATTTTAGGGACTGTCTTTTCTGTGCTTCTGGTATACATGCACTTCACTGAGACATAGGAAAAAAACTGGTCCCTGATCCTTTCATACAACCCCTTTCCACCATTTTTATAAACAGAGAGTATGTGTACTGTATTTGGAGTCCGTCATCAGTTGAATAAAGTGAAAGTCTTTCCCTCATCCTTGTCTGTTAAAAGCTTGAAGAAATTCCTTCCTTTCAGGGGAAACCGGTACATGTTTTATCAGAGCATAATGCAATTGTTCTCTTCTTTGTGGTGCTGAGGTCCTTGCTCATCTTAGGCAAGTGCTATACCAATTATATTCTCTTTTTTTTTGAGACAGGGTTTCACTGTGTAGTCCAGGCTGGTCTTGAACTCAAAGCATAGTGGTCCTCTTAGTTCAGCCTCCTGTGTGCTGGGATTACAGGCGTGCACTACCGTGCCCGGCCCAGTAATACTATTTTTCTTTTTTCCATCTCCAGAAAAGTTTATTAGCGTGATTACAAACATTTTCTTGAATAATCACAGAAAGAATTTCTAAACATGAAGGAGTATCAGTGTCTTATAAGAAATATTTGGAACTAAGTGGGTACTTATTGCCAGTCTTCATTTCATTTAAAAAAATCCGTGTATTGGTTCCGTGAGGCCATGGCTATTGCTTTGGGAGTGAGTTCCTACTGCAGCTAAGTATAAAAAATATCTTCCATCAGAACTGAAGTGTTACCGGCATTGGAGTGACTCTTGAGTAAAGAGTTGATAAAAATCCACAGAGTTGGGTTTTTGTTTTTTAAAAATCCTTTTACATGCTACAAAGAAATTATCAATATTTTTGCTTTTTCAATTCCTATAGGATATTTAGAGTGTCAGGGCCCAAAACTCCTCCCGTCCAGAGCTGTGAACGCAGATCCTGTTCTGCAGGGCAGATACTGAGGGCTCAGCCCAACTCAGCTCAGTACATTTTTTTTTGTTTTTTTGAGACTGGGTCTCACTGTGCAGTTCAGGCTGGCCTTGAACTTGCAGTGATCCTCCTGCCTCAGCTTCCTGAATTCTGGGATTACAGGTGTGTGCCACCATGTCTACCCCCAATTACATTCTTAAAAGTAAATATTCATATGAGTTGTTTTTGAATTTTCTTCTGTTTAATATATCTAAGATGTTTTAAGATTGGGAATGTATGTCAGCTGAAGAGTCTTATTACTGCTTTTTAAATACATTCTTGCACTGGGGATGTAGCTCAGTGGTAAAGCTCTTGCCTAGCTTGTGAGGCCCTAGGTTTGCTCAGAACCATAACACAAACAAAATCTTAGACTTCTCGAAGTAACTGAGGAAGTGGGCTCCCTCCTTTCTTGGCAGTTCACCTTTTCTGGTTAGGAAGACAGGACTCACGTATGGTTTGGGGAGAAACCAGGGCCAGCTGCAGACAGTTCTGCTGTATGCCTCCTTCTCCCCGAGAGACCTCTTGTACAGTTGCCAATCCCGTTAGTGTGTTCTGTGTTTAAGTAACCTTTTGCAAGGAGGCTGTCCTATGTATTGCCGTCTCCCAGCTGTCCCTGGGTCTTCTGCCTCTGGTCTCACTGTTTCAGGTGGCTTGCCTTTCACGAGCTCTGGTAACTGATGCTTTGTGTGTGTCTTCTCTGTCCCTCAGCGTGTGTGCTCACAAAACCTTTCCTGTGCTGGACAGGTTGGCTGAGGAGTCCTGATGAGGCTTTGAGAGACTTGTGTTTTATTCTCTCCAGGGGAGCCAGGAAGTGGGACCGAAAGTGACACTTCTCCAGACTTCCACAATCAGGAAAATGAGCCCAACCAGGAGGACCCTGAGGATCTGGACGGATCTGTGCAGGGAGTGAAACCTCAGAAGGCTGCTTCTTCCACTTCCTCAGGGGGTCATCATAGCAGCCATAAAAAACGAAAGAATAAAAACCGGCACAGGTCAGTGGCAGGGACCCCACCCCCACAGCTCCGATGACTGTTGGTGTGAAGGGACCTTCCTAGAATCAAATGCTTCAGGATGGACAGAAATTCCTTGGCTCCAAATGAAACCAGCTAATGTTTTAAGGGAGGAGTTGGTGGGCAGTAGAGTAACCCTGGAGGAGAACTCCAGGACATCCTTCCACTGTTGCTAGCGCGGAACCCTAACCCTAACCCCAACCCCAAGAACTTTGTTTAAGATGGTGAATTTGGAATCCTTTCGGAAGAGAAAAAGGGGGGATAGAAATGGAGCCTGTATAATAGTATTTGAAAAATGACACTAGTGTATATTGGGTAAAGTGGGGTAGTCTTTTCCTCTTACTCCTGACCCCTGCCTACTCTTATGAGAATTGATTTAATGTGCCTTTTAAAAAAATTTTAAATACAAGCTTTTTGATCACTTCTGATTCTTGTGTTTTTATAGTTCTCTGCAATATGCTGACTTCAGATACTGAGAAACAATAAAAAGCCTATAAAATGTGAGCGTGCCTTCCTAGGTAACATTTGCCCACCATGTTTTTTGCAGTGCCTAATGAAATAGAAAGGACATCAGTGAACAAAGAGGTCAGGTGTCACCCAGAGTGGCTTTTAGAATTCACTATGCCTGGGGTTTGTGCGATAGTGCTGGGGCCTGTTAACTCAGAAAATTATAAATCCTATAGCATCATTCTGAGAGGGTAATGCTTAATTTCTAGAGTCAGGAATCTTGTCCTGGCTGCAAACCCAGGAGGCATGGAAATGGGTTTTTCTCATCTGATTTGTCCTGCTTGCCATGGAAACCTATGTGCTGAAGAGGTAAAAGGGGCATGCCAGGGGTGGGCTGGGTTCTCTGTCCTCCAGTTTGCTTCTATATTTTGTTGCTTTAGAAACCTGTAGAGCCGGGCTTGGTGGCACATGCCTATAATCTCAGCTCTTGAGAGGCTGAGGCGGGAGGATCACCATAAGTTTGAGGGCAGCCTGGGTTATTACAATAGTGAGTTGAAGACCATCCTGAACTACATAGTGAAACCCTGTCTCAAAATAAAAAAAACAAGCCAGGCATGGTGCACACACCTGTAATCCCAGCACTCAGGAGGCTGAGGCAGGAGGATCACCATGAGTTCGAGGCCAACCTGGGCTACATAGTGAGTTCAAGACCAGCCTGAGCTACACAGTAAGACCCTGTCACAAAAAAACAAAACAAAGTGCCTAAACAAATAAAAACAAAAAAGAAACCTGCAGGTGATTTCTTCATGCACCAAGATATTAAAACTTTTTATGGATTTGGAATGGGGATAATGTAAAATTAAATCTTACCGGTTTGCCATTAATTGATTCTAAAGAGCTTTTCTTGTGGATGGTAATGGTGTTTTTTCTTTTTAACTGCAGAAATAATATTTCCTCCAAACAGTGACAAAGAACTGCTGCTTAACATTTTTCTGCACATCAAAAGTCACCATGTTAATCTCAAAACTGTAGTAAGAAATAACAAAAAATGCTTTTTTTGTCTGTGTGATGGTGGGGATAAGGCCCTAGGTTATTTGACCACTGTAATGGAATTGGTGCTAATTAGCCACTAACAGCAGAGAACAATACTGTGAAAAAATATTTAATTGTTAAATTTTAAAAATTTGTGTTGAGTGCTGGGGATCAAACCCAGGGTTCCTACATGCTAGGCGAGTCCTCTGCTCTACTGAACTATATTCCCACCCCCGTAAAAATACTTTAAAAATTGTCAGAGTCATTAACTGTTGTGTTCTGTGTTGCCCGTGTTGTTTTAAAGTAATGGCTGTTTTCCTGTTTCAGGGTGTCTAGGGTAGGGAGAAAATTCCTTGGAAGCATCTAGAACTTTTTCCATTACTGATCAGCATTACCGTACTCTCTAGGTAGCTGTTTATTTCAGGTAATGCCTCATTTTCACTAATGATATGATCAACTGATTAATAAAAGGGAGCATTAAATTTAACTTTTTTCTTTCAGGTTTCTAATAAATTTCATAGAAAAAAACCCCCACTTTTCTTCTTCTTTCCTCTCCTGGCCCTAGGAACATACATACCCCTTCCATGAAAACATTAGTATTTATAAAGACCGTTGGTGTTAATGCTTTCACAAACGGTGTTTTCTATTCAGAAAGCAGATCTTTTCTTTATTTCCCTGTTCCTTTCTGGGATTGTGTATCTGACTGGTTTCCTCCCCAAGGGTGGAGAGTGGTGGATTTGCTTTCTCAGAGTGCCTGAGTGTCCCACAGTGCCATCTTTCGTCAGGAATGGAGTGTGGTCTACGCCCTTCCCCCCAGCCGACGGCTTGGGGTCGCCGACAGACCAGGCTGTGGGTGGAGCGTGTGGCCTGTGAACGTTGGTAAATTGGCACCCAGTATATACTTGTTGCTTTTCCCGTGTGCTCTTAGCTGCTATAATCAGAGTTAGTAGTACACTATTTCAGCAAGTATTTGAGTACTTATGTGCCAGACACTGTTTAATAGTAAAATAAATATATTACTTTAGGAGAAGAAAATGACTTTTGAATTTTCCCTCTTCTGGAATAATTAATCAATTTTTTTAACATTCATAAACAATCACAGTGTTCTGAATTCTTATATTTTATATGACATCTGAAAAGTAATTGAGTCCCAGTGTCTTTTTTTTTTTTTTTTGTCTTTTTGAGACAGGATTTTGCTATGCAGTTTAGACTGACCTTGAACTCACTTTTTAGCCCAGTCTGGCCTCAAACTTGAAGCAGTCATCCTCCGTCAGTTTCCTAAGTGCTGGGATTACAGGCTTGTGCCACCATGCCTGGCAGGTCCCAGTGTCTTTAAAGAAAAAATTGAAATAACTCATAGCTGCTGTTCCAGGCTTTTACTGTTATACTAAACCCAAGTTTACTTGTGGTATAGGGGACTGAGCCCAGGACTTTTGCAGTGAACTACCTCCCCAGTTCTTATTTATTTTTTATGTTGAGACATGGTCTCACTAAGTTGCCTAGGCTGGGCTTGAATTTAGAATCCTGCCTCAACCTCCCAGCATGCTGGGATTACAGATGTGCCATCATGCTTGGCTCACACCAAGTTTTGGTACATTTTATTTATTTATTTGTTTAGGTCCCGTCCCTCCGTGCCCCTCCCCCCCACCGGGAATCAAACTCAGGACATGGTGCTTGCCGCTGTGCTGCTGAACTAAATCCCCAGCCCCTTTTTTGGTCTTGAGACAGGGTCTCACTCTGCAGTTTAGGCTGGCCTTGAGCTCACTTTGTAGCCCAGACTGGTCTTGAATTCGGAATGATCCTCCTGCCTCAGCCTCCCGAGTGCTGGGATTCCAGGCTTGCGCCACCACACTTGGCTATTTAGTTTTTTGAGGCAGGGTTTTGCTATATAGTTCAGACTGGACTTGAATTCTGTGTAGCTCAGCCTGGCCTTGAACATGCAGGGATTGCATTTGGCCCTGTCTGTGCTAACCTAAGCACATACTCTTTCAGTGAGCTATACCTTCAGATTAAGTTGCAGTCTTTTGCAACTTGTGAATGAAGTCAGGCTGAAAATAAACTACCTGAGGATAGTGAAGTTAAGCTTCCAACTTCACCCCTGCATACACTGTGTAGGAGGCAAATGCAGCCATTTGTGCGGTGCTTTAGTCTGCAGTCTGAAAGGTGTGGGAGCCAGCGGAGGTGCTGGGGTCAAGCCTGGGGTTAGTGTTTGCTTTGGAACTCTGCCCAGACCATGATCCGCCAGCAGGGATGGCACAAAACTGCTCCTCTGTGCCACTTGCTTCCAGCTGTGGGTGCTCTTGGGTGCCAGCTTTCCTTTCTGTTAACAGGGCCTCACAGAGTTTGGTATTTCTTAATCGCTGCCCTGCCGTAGACGGTTAACTGCCTGGTGTCACTTCAGGGAACCGAGTAACACTTCTGTTTGGATTTTGGAACGAGACTCCGCCGTTGAAGTTTATTCATTCAACCTTGGCTTCTAGGATGGATGCCTTAGCAAAGAGTACCATGTTCCCGGACACTTTAGAACATAGAATGCCAGTAAAAAAGTTGCCAAATGTCTTCCTTTTCTCAAAGTTTGAAATGTTTTTGTCATTTATTTTAGTGAAAGTATAATATGCTGAGTTATAAGTACCTTTCATTGCAAGACTGACTAAACCTTTTTCCTGTTTCTTCTAATGCCTGAATTATACTTTTCAATACAACTATTTAAGAAGTTCTAACTCTGAATCTGGAAGCTAATAAAAGGGATGAAATTATCAGTAGTTTTCTAATGAAATCACTTTTCCTTACATAGTCTGTTCTTTTCCTATGGAATCCATTGAGGGAAGGGAATCTCCTGACCACAGAATCTTTGGTGCTTTGATGTTTGAAACTATGGCTTAAAATTCTTAAAAACTGATTTTATTTCTACAAATCTTGCTAGGGTGGCTAATCGACTAATTTGTTCAATTAGTGTATTAATTTCTATTGCTTTCTTCCTTTCAAATGCTGCCCCTCAGCCCGTCTGGCATGTTTGATTATGACTTTGAGTAAGTTTGATTTGAATTAGTATTTGTGCTGTGTTGTTTAGTGTGTAGACACCAGTATGCCTTTTTGAGACCTTTCTAACCCATAGTTTATCTGTTTAATTGTAGGTATATATATTAGGTTAGGCTGGGAAGTTTTTTTTAAAAACAGAAAAACGTGATGGAGGTAACATTTTATTTAATAACTTAAGCAAAATTAAGTAAACTTCACATTTATGCATTTTAATTTCTTTTTAAATAGATAACCTTTCATTTATATTTAAATTGATTTTCTGGCTTTGCTTCATAAAGAGATTAACAGTTTTAAAATTCTGCTTTGGAAACATGTAAAAATTGAAATTCTTTTAATTTCTTTTGTGTTTCATATCCAGAAATACAAACTCCTAGTCTCTTTCCTTCTCTTAATGACCACGTGTCTCAGTAATTTTCAGCGGTACAGCTGCAGAGCTAACACGTTAACATAGAGCATGCCTCTTAATCCATTCTCTTTAACAAGTAGTTTTGGAGTGCTTTTTAAAAAATGATACAACTTTTGTAACTGCTGTATTTCTTCTTGAATCACCCAAATTTGCCTTATGGCAGAAGTATCTGCTCATATTTTTTAATACTTGCTTGGTAATGCCTGGGTAAATAACTAAGTAAGATACAGTTTAATGGAGAATATGGATTTTATTTAACCAGGTAGCCTTGTGATAGCTTGTGCCCTGTACAGTAACTGATTGTTGAACCCTTTTTCTGTAAATTAAAATGCACGTGTCTTTTATCTTTCCTATCACAGGATTGATCTGAAGTTAAACAAAAAACCACGAGCTGTAAGTATCAGTCAGACCACTTGAGAGAGGCTGGTAGTTTTGTAGATAATTAGAAAAATGTCTCATCTTCAGAGTTTTAGTGTTCCGAATCTAGGTCACACTTTAGAGTCTGGTATGTGCATCTGTCTACACTTTAACTTTTAGATGCTATTTCCTTTTTATTTTGAAGAGAGAAAGGTCACACTTTCTTGGTTGTTTCTGTTTTTGTTTTTTGGTACTGGGGGTTGAACCCAGGGCCTTTGAACTGAGCTACATCTCTAGCCCTTTTTATTTGTGATCCTCCTGCCTCAGCCTCACAGAATATTGGTATTATAAGCATGCACCACCATGTCCAGCAAGAAAGAAAAATCCCTTTGGTTAAATAATAAATAGTTGCTACTAGCTCTCTCTCTCTGTCTCTCTCTCTCTCTCTCTCTCTCCCTGGCTGGTGAGTTTATGTGGTCTAGTAAGAGCAGAATTGATGTTTCAGTTGATATCTCTTTATGGACTCTGAAGACAGGCCATTTTCAGATGTGAAATACTGTGTATTACATTTGAAATGCAATCTTTAGCTACTGAACAATTTCTTAGCACAGTTGCTTAGTAGATTTGCTTTTTCCTTAGGGTCAAACCAGTGATCTGCAGAGAGTAAGTTGGGACTTTTGTTTCTTTCTCTTCAGGACTATTAGAAGACTCATTAGTACAGAAGCTTCCAGGCTGTAGAGCCCTGCTTCCCTTCTCCGACCTCACACAGATAACATCCCTCATCTGAGCGCGTGGCCTCCCACCTCTGCTCTCCCCGACCCAGTGCCTGTGACTGAGTAGTTTGTTCTAAATGTGGTGATGAGTCATTTCTGTAAGACATTGCATCGTTTGCTTTGTGTCATTTTTAGATACAACTGCAGGGAGACCGAGTCTGGTTGTAATCCCAGCACATTGCTCTGTGTGCATTTCTCCCGTAGAGTGAATGTCTCCCCCAGACTGGCTGGCCCCAGCCACATCTGTGTTCCCCGTTGAGACACGTTCTCTGGTTTTGTATTACGCTGAACGTAGACCACAAGTCACATTTCTGATGTAGGTTGTAAATATCTGCTATTTCTTTTATTTTGTGTTTTATTGTTTTCCTATTGTTGTTTTTACCATCTTATTTTCTTTCTGGGACTTTTTGTGATGCCTTTGTACAGCTCATACCTCCCTGCTGATGTACTTGATGATCTGTTTCATGCAGTTACCAATATTCTTAACTGAAAAGAATGTGGTTTACTATAAGTAAAATGGGAAACTTGGCTCTGTGGGGCTTCACAGGGGAAGGTAGAGAGTGGTTATTTAATAATTACCTGTCTTAAATCTCTGAATTGGAAGCAGTTTCACGTTCAAGGAACAGGAGAAGCTGAAAACCTTAAGTTTAAATTAGTCCTTTTAAAATAGATGTTTTTATTCTTTTGTATAAATAAAATTCATAGGTTTTGACTTGTCATGCTTTGCTTTTAAGCCTGAGATTGCTTTTTCACTTACTTTATTCATATCATGGCTTAGGGAAATTGCTTTCTTTTTCCCTTCTTTTCTTTTTGCTGGCTTTCACCTCGTTAAATATTGCTTCAGAAAGTCATCAGGGCAATAAAAAGGCTAAAAATTACACCAAGCCAGGCATAATGGCACATACCTGTAATGCCAGCACTTAGGAGGCTGAGGCAGGAGAATCACTGAGTTGAAGGCCATCCTGAATTACATAACAAGACCCTATTGAAAAAAAGACACCAAAATCTGGTCACAGAAAATTATCCTTTTTTTTCTTTGGTCTTTCTGAGACAGGGTTTTGCTCTGCATTTCAGGCTGGCCTTAAACACACAGGGATCTTCCTGCCTCAGCCTCCTGAGTGCTGGGATTACATGTGTGCACCACCATGGCCAGTTGAAAATGTTTTTGTTTTTTGTTTTTTGTTTTTTTTTTTTGGTCTTTTTGAGAGAGGGTCTCAATATGCAGCTCAGGCTGGCCTTGAGCTCACTTTGTAGCCCAGGCTGGTCTCGAACTCGGAACGATCCTCCTGCCTCAGCCTCCTGAGTGCTGGGATTATAGGCATGGGCCACCACGCCCGGCTTGAAAATGTTCTTGAATGAAGTGAAAGCCAGCATTGTGAGAGCCAGCATTGCCTGAAGGAACACCCTTCCTGGTGGAGCCTGGGCTGAGGAACGTGCTCATGATTGCTCCCTGTCTGGGGTCATGGTCACCTACCTGGCTGCACATTGTGATCAGTTGGGAGGCCCAGAAATGCTGCTGTCTGGGCACCAGCCCCGGAGACGCTGGGGGACAGCCTGCTTGCTGGGTTTCCTTTCCTCAGGGGCTGAGAAGGAACCAAGTGGAGATTGATTTTCTTTAAATCCTGTGCTGTGAGTCAGTGCTAGGGATAAGATTTGGGCCCTCATCTTTCCTCTCAGTCTGTTTAGCCTTAGTCCTTTACGCCCGTAGCTTTATAGGAACTGTGTCGATGGTGATGACATTCGTGGAGCTGAGTAGGAATGGATTCTGTTAGCAGAAAAAGTTCACCTTGTCAGGTGCCCAACAGCTTTTACTCTTTTTCTGGGGAAAAAAACTTACTTTGTAAAAAAAAAACTCCGTGGCAGTTTTAGATGGCTTTGGTTTGGTAGCAGAACTCTGATACCAGGGTTTTTAAAGAAATAGTTTCTTCGGTTTAGAGTGTTTCTTTAAACAAAAGCAAACAAACCAACCCCAGGAGCTTTCTATATCCTTTGTTAGTTTGTCCCCTTTCCTGGGACAGCAGTGGGATTCTGGGCTTTCCCTGAGTCAGGCGAGCATACAACAGACGTTAAAATACCTTTGACTCTCATAGTTTGGCATTTGCTAGCGATGTGTTTTGTACTGCTCTTTAAAAGGTATGTTTCCAGGCAGGAGGCTAAGGCAGAATTATGAATTGAAGACCAGCCTGGGCCACGTGGCAAGTTCAAGGCCAGCCTAGACTACATAGTGAATCCCTGTCTCAGGCTGGCTTTTTTTTTTTTTTGGTACCAAGAATTGAACTCACAACCCCACCCTTGCCAGGCAAGCGCAGTGCCACTGAGCTATATCCCTGGACCCTGAATCCCTGTCTCAAAAAAAAAAGTGTTTTATTTATTATTGCAGTGCTCAGTATCAGACCCACACCTTCCTCCATGCTAGATAAATGTTCTATCACTTAGCTATACCCTCAGCTCCTAAAAGTATATTATTCAAAAGCATATCTACCATGTGTAAAATCATGGATAGAAATGGGCTACTTGGCTTATACTTATTTTCCCTACAAAATTTAACCACTGATGATGGGGTGTTGCAATTTTCCTATAAGATGTGTAAGTTGGCTAGGGATACTGGAGGTAGTCAGTGACTGCCCCCCATTTTTCTAGTATATCCCCTTGTTAAATTTTGAGACAGGGTCTCACTAAGTTGCTAAATTGCCTAGATTGGGTTTGAATTTGCAATCCTACTGCCTTAGCCTCCATGAGTCCTGGGATTATAGTTGCGTACCAACCTGCCTGGCAGTAGTCAAATTGTGAGAGATTGCTAAGTTTCCCTACATTATGGTCCTTTAGAAGAAGGCACTGGTGGTTCCCTGCCTGCTGGGTACCATGCTTGTAACACTGAATTTAGGTTATCAAGTAAATTTGCCTGATTTTTAAGATTAGATGAGGTGATAACCTTGATCAAATTATTGATTTAAAAGTACTACCCAGTTGTAGTGATACACACCAGTAATCCCAACACTCAGGAAGTAGACAGGAGGATTCCTAGTTCAGAGGCAGCCAGGGCACTATGGTGAGACTCTGTCTCAAAGAAAGGAGGGGAGTGGGAAGGAAAGTAGGGAGGAAGGGCTGCATTGTCAGAGGACAGTATGGTAGAGTTAGTCTGCTGGATGGCTTGTATCGTCCTTGAATTGCCATCAGGACCGCTGAGAAAGTGCTTACTTCTGGTTCTTTCATCATTGGACTACTTGGGTTTGGAACAGTGCTTTGCTACGTGTCCTAAGGACAGAAAATGAATTGGCTAAAAGAACGAGTCCTATGAAAAGGCTGACTCCTGGGATATGGCCCTTCTTCTGATCCACAGGGACAAAGGTGGACTAGGAGGACTGAGGGAGCCGTATTCATTCGTGTCTGCCATTAGGATATTTGCTATTCTGTACTGTGACCTTCTCCACTCTTGGGACTTGGTTGTCCTTTGCTCCTTTTTGACAGTTATGAGACATTAGGAAGAAAGAGGGAAAGAAAAAAAAAAGTCAAGGCCCTTTCTAGTAACATTCTTGTTACTGGGAAGATGGTGTCAGTTAAAAGCTTCATGAGGTCTTGGGTGGATTCTTCTAAGGTCTGAGGATATACATTGCTTTAGACTCAGAATGTTCTAAACACCGTCAGACCCTACAGGTTGAAGGTGGAGAGTGGGAACAACCCACAAAGTAAAAGTGGGGTGTCCATCAGCCTAGGGACTGTAAGGAAGCTTGAACTTGGGCAAGGCCAGGTTGGGCTGAGAGAGCAAGGGCTTCAAGGTGCTGTCTTCATCTGGAGAGGCCGTCTGTCTTAGGGCGTCAAAGTGATGTAAGGAATCATCAGTTACTACATAGGATAAACAGTTTCCCATAATGGAGTTTATGTTGTTTGTTTAGAAGGAAATCCTTATTCTGAAAGAGTAGGAAGCAGGCATCAAAATTATTTCCACCTTCAAGCCTGAGCTTTTGAGTGCTGGTTGCTGTTAAGTATTCTACTCAGTAAAAAGTCATTTTGCCATCGCTATCTCTGCTAATAAGAGAATTGAAATGAGTGCTAAAGAGCCTATTCTTGAAAGTAGTCATGGTTTTCTTTTGAGACAGGGTCTCACTCTGTAATTTAGTCTGGCCTTGACTGTAGCTGAGGCTGGCCTTCAACTTGTGGCAGTCCTCCTGCTTCAGCCTCCTGACAGCTGGGATTACAGTCATGCACCACCACTTCTGGCCATGTGTGGTTTTTGCATTTATGCTGACTTTTGTGCCCCTCAATCTCATTCTCAATTCCTGAGGCATTGTTACACTTAAAAATTCAAACCTGAAGCTGGGTATGGTGATGGTCAGCACAGCTATTCAAGAGGCTGGGGCAGGAGGATCACAGGTTCAAGGCCAGGCTGAGCAATTTAGGGAGACCTGTCTCAAGTTAAAAAAAAAAAAAGGGATGGTGGTGGCGCTGGAATGCAGCTCAGTGTAGACCACTTGCCTGAGGTGCCTGAGGCCCTGGGTTTAGGCTCTCGTACAGCAGATAAATAAATATAAATAAACAATCCAAACAGCCACATCCAAAGCCCTGGCTATATTGCATGGGGAGGAGAAGGTCCATTTATTTCTCCCAAGGAGGTGTCCTGTTCAGGGCCTAGGACAGTGACAGAGGTAAGATGTCGGAGTGATGAGAAGGAGGGGTTGGAACTTTGTTTCCAGGGTCAGTCTGAATGAGTGCTGTCCTGTCTGAACTTCTAAGTGGCGAGCTTCATGATTCAAAACAGCTTCCACTTTGAAAAACTGCCTAGTAGAGTGAAATTGTCACCCCTGACAGGGCTGTTGGAGTGGATGCTGGTCCTCACATAGGGCAGTTTTCACGGGAGGGTGTAGGATGCCCAGGTATGGGAAGAATGGATTCAGCCTTTAATGTGTGTTCACTTTTGGGCTCAGCCTTCTGTATCTCTTCACTTCGAATGTGCTTGTGTAATATACATGAATGTTAGTTCATTAGTCCCTGTAGATTATTTATGAATATTAAGTTGAACCGCAAGAGATTGCTAATATTCAAATTGTTTTGATCTATAAAAATGGCAGTTATCGTGGTTTAAAAATAAACTTCTGTGTGATAGTGGGGTGTATATTCCACGTTTTTACCGTTCGTGTGCAAGAGTAAATGCTGAGCTGGGCATGGTGGTACACATCTAATCTGAGCTACTTGTGAGGCGGAGGCGGAAGTATCTCAAGTTCAAGGCCAGCTTGGGCAACTTAGTGTGACCGTATCTGAAATCAGTTTTTTGGGGTAGACAGGGTCTCATTCTGTAGTTCAGGCTGGCCTGAAACTCACTGTGTAGTCCAAGTTGGCCTTGAATTTGTGGCAGTCCTCCTGCCTCAGCCTCCCAAGTAGTAGGATTACAGCAATGCTGAATTTAAAAAAATTTTTTTTAAAGGCTGGGTATTAGGGGCTGGGGATTTAGCTCAGCGGCACAGCGCCTGCCTGGCAAGTGCAAGGTCGTGAGTTCAATTCCTGGTACCGGAGAAAAACCAAAACCAAAACCAAAACCAAACAAAAAAAGGCTGGGTATTGTGTGTAGCTCAGTGATAGAGGACTTTTGTAACACATGCAAGTCCCTGGGTTCAATCTCAAGTACTGCAAACAAAAAGAATAAACTTTGGAGACCCCTGGCTAATACAGCTTTCCCCAGCTTGACATTCCCACCCTCACAATTTATTGCTGTACCCCAGGAAGG